ATTTCCACCCTTCAGTATGGCTTTAGTGTGGAAGTAGTTACAGCACAAGCACACATCTGAGAGGATAAAGCATCACATGTTTTTCTTCTGTATATTTTGATTAATGCTAATTGAATACCTTCAAAAGGCTACAATACAATTTACATTGCTCCAAGCTGTATATATTGCTTTTCAGAAGCAGGGCAATAACAACATGTGTCAATGCTTTCACCAAAACTTGTTATTAAAAATATGTCAAGAAATGTTTGCAAGAAAGAAAGAGTATCAGGAGACAGAAAAGGCACACACCAGAGGCATCAATATGTGATTGTTAATATGCAGTTCAGATTCCTCTTTTCATTTTAAAGTGCCCTCACCCTTGAGTGATCACAAAGAATAGGAATAACTTGGCAGATTTAACAGTATCAATAACAAAAGTAATAACAAGCAGATCTTGCTGCCTCTGTTTGAATGACAGTTCACTTACCTGCCTTCTCCTTTTTCCTTTCTTCAGAAACCACACAATGTATTACATGTTTTGTGCTGCGTGTTTTGCTTGAGTGTAAGTGCACACAGGCAAGAAACAATTTCTCTGATGACATTACACAGAGCAGGATAAATGCTAGGGTTTTCTAAGTGGCCTGAAACTTAATTTGTGCAGCTTGTGAACCGTGCAGTGGTACACGGCACAGGCAGCTCTGTGTAGCTCCCAACTGCACTTCCATCTCAGTCCATTGGCTGTGGTTATGTATTTGTGTGCACTGTCACAGGGCTAGCAGTTTTAGAAGATTAATAAAACAGCAACTGCTGATGATCTCAAGTCCAATCTACCTTGATAACTTCAATTAAAAGAATGGGCAAGACTCCTATTTCAAGTCATTTCATATGCTTTTGCTTTGATTCTGAATTCATTTGATTAAGTGCCAAAATAGAAAAAAACTGAGGAAAAAAAAGTGCAGTGTCATATCCAGTACTTTTCTTCAGTCAATAACACTTTAATGTAACTTTAGAAAACAGATTCTCCACCTTTGGCAGAAGTAAATTCAACACTTTTAGCATGTAACAGATGTGTGCAGATGTGTGTTTAGAGAGATTCTATTTGAAGAATGGAATTCCTAAATCTTAAGTCTGTAATTTTAGTGAGAAATTAATGTAATTATTTGTATAAAGACAATTACAAACTAACAATTTCTAAGCTTCTTGAAAATGTTGTTTAGAACATAACCTCAAATAACTACTCAAAAATATTTGGAAAGAATGTACCTGATCCTGCATATTACATCCACGTCCTTGCACACATCTAGATGACCTAGTATCATATAAATAACTTGTAACACACAACAACAAGATAATTTTTCTCTTGTTTAGGTGTGTATCTTACAGAGTATCCAGAAACTCAACTTCCATGATACTGAATAATGTCAGCAGATAGCACTGTTACCTGCAGTGGTACCTTGTACAACTTTGAGATGCAATACCAAATATCAAGATTGTCACAAAATAATGGGAAAAAAAATCAAAACCATATACCTTCAGCAGGACAATAAAACAGTTATTGGTATTTGTCCTTGGGTTCTTCTGTTACCTTTTGTTCTCATCATTTTTACTGAACTGTCTTTCCTCAGGCAGGGAGTTGATGTAGATAGTTCTGGTTAAAATACTGTTTCCATTTGATCCAGCTCTCCTCCTCACTCTTCCTGCGTAACTTAGTTTCCAACATACTTTACAATCGGTTCTGTAACAAATTTACAATGACATTTCATTACCCACAAAACAGATTGTCTGACTGAAGAACCTACAATTTGGACACTATAAATGTTTATGAACTTTATTAACAGTGGCTATAATCAGCAGCAAGTAAGAAGTTTGCTGAAATAAGACAGCAGTCAGCAGTATCCATCCAGAGCCCAGAGTTGTAGCCAGTGAAGCAAATTTTACTTGTCTAAACAGCAAAAAAAAAATGGTCAACTTCCTGAACGTTTACTTAGAGCTTTCAATTCAATTCAGACTAGTTATTTGTGTTTAAAAATAGGAAAGTGAATTAGTTCCTGGACTCCATGGTGAGCAAAAGCAATACAGAATGATTTGACAACAAAGAGAAAGGTCTGTTGTTGTTGTTTTGTTGTTGTTGTTGTTGTCTGTATGTTTTTTTCTCCTGCTGAGTCAGTAGGGATGGACCTCAAAAAAGATGAAGACAAATCAAGTAATAGACACTGGAATTCCTAAAAGTAATCAGAGTTATTTTGAAAAGCTTTCAACTACCAATCCATGGTTCCAGCTTACAATAAAATATCCTCTGTTTAAGATAAAGAAGAACAGATTGCTCTTAGAGTGCATAAGAAATACTTGACTTCCAAATAAGAGGGCTGAATTATATAGAATTATGATATTTTCATACACAATTTACTTATGATAGAGACAAGCCTTAGGAAAAAGTTAGAAAAGCCAGGGTCATTGTGGAGATTGTGACCGATTAACTAAGTATAATCAAAATGTGTTTATTTATTATTTATTTCATATCGAGATTATACACTGACAAAAGACAAGTCAGGTGATAAAAACTTGTACACTAACATAATACTGATTCTGATTTAAAAGCTTGCATGAACATTAAGTTCCACTCAAATATTTAAAAAGGTTCTACGTGCTCTTAAAAGTCATTAAAATCAGGACAACTGTTAATGTTTAATATATTTCACTGTTTTATCAGACTTTGTTTATAATGAAAGAGAGATAAAAGCCAATCCAGAAAATCTTGCAGAAAGTCCCAAGGTGTGGTGAATTCTTTTGGAAAGCAAATAATAAAGTAGTTCTTGTTTTATTATCTGCTTCTAACTGCTAATTGAAAGATTCCTGGTTTCATGACATAATTAAGGAAATCAAATGTAATCTACGTATACAAATATCCATTAGTTACAGGTGACAAAAAATGGAGGAAAATTTAAGCTGACATTAGTTCCTATTAAGTTCTCCTAAGAAACTTGAAAAGTTGCAGATGATCAGCAGTGCTGATAGGAAAGACCAATAGTTAGCAGCTGAAAGAACAATTTCAAGGTAATTTTGACAGTGAAGTCACACAAATACTGTGCAGTTGTTATAGTCTAGAAAAAAATGGAAATTTCTGTTTCACAGGAAACACTGATATTTCATATTGGTTCCACCAGTTATTGGATTAATAAAACGTATATACGTTAATATATATGTAAATACTTCTTTTTGTTATACACATTTTGAATATAACAATAAAATTCAAGATTATATTGATTCAAAAATGGTGATATATCAATGTTTTCATTTTAGACCACAAATTTTTCAGAGTACAAAGTTATATGGGAACTGCTGAGTCATGGCCTGAACCTCTGATTGATCACCTGAGGCAAGCAATGAATCAGCCAGAGGAGCACAGGTGAAGGCAATTCACCTGTGCTGCCAGAAGGGGTGGAGCCTTGCTCCTAGACCTATTTAAGAGCTGGCTACCAGTGGGGAAGGATCTCTTTCTGGAGGTCCCTCTTTTGGAGTTTTACAGTGAGACCAGGACATGGGTAAGTGCTCTATCTATTCTCTTTTAGTATAATAACCTGCTTAGCCAAACTTTCTGGTATATTTCATAATTACAACATCTGTATATTTATTGATTATAGAAAAGTATTTTTTATTTTCCTATTTAAATTTGTATTGATTTAAGGAGTCCTCAGTATATTTTAAATAAAGTATGCTAAACACCCTGGATAAACTACATTTGGTCATGTAATTCCTTTGACAGCCATCTTCAAAATCTCCCTTACAGTACTTAGTTTCTGTACTAGCAGTATTCTTCAAAAGAACCCTTGCAGATCCTCTGAGATAGTTTCCAATTTAAACTTATCTAAAGCCAGTGCTGTCCTTAGATGATGTCATTTTCCCCTCCTCATTTAAAGAGAGAGAATGCATCAGTCTTGCTTTACAAGATTTGTTGTTTTTTTCCAAGGTTTGTTGGATTTACAAGGTACAATCAGTAAGGCAAGCCAACGCTTTGCCTTGGAAAATAGACTCTTTCTATTCTTTCTTTGCCCTTACTCCAGCTTAAAGTTATCATTCTTGCACATGTTTTCTTGAAAAACCACAGTCAGTATTTCCAACAAGCTCTCAAGAGGGTTTCCCTACAGCAGAATCCTAATGCATCCCACTATCATATTTTGTATTTCCCTAAGGAGAATTTTACTTTTGCAGACACTGCAATTTCTAGCAAAAGATCACTAAAGAAAATCCATGTTCAGCTCTAGTACCCTAATGGACACACAACTCCTCTAAGGCACGGACTATATATATATATATATATATATATATGCTATATATATATATTTTTTTTTCTTAAAAGAGAAACACCCCTTTCATTTCTTGTTATGCCTAATCACCCTCTGCCAAGAGAGAAATTGTTTTTTCTTTAAAAGCCTCAACTCTGCATCATAATGACATCAACCTATACAACAATCCCTGTTGGAGCAGAGTTGCTTTAGCTATGTGTGGGCTCCGTCTACAATGGCACTCATCCCAGAGCCATACTAAGTAGCATCTAACTCTAAAGAGTCCATTAAAATTGATTTCTGTTCCTGGAATAAATTATTTTGTGTGTCAGTATCTCTCATCCCATGCAAAATTAACAGTTCAGGTAATATCACCTGAAAGCTGACATTAAGGTACATTTAGGGCACCGTCTAGAATCCCAACTAGTGGAGTCCTGAGCACTCATACATCCTCTCCCAATCTTTCCTTTCAGGAGAAGAGCAGAAGAGGAATCAAAGAAAGGAAACCCGGAATACCACAGAACAGCTTCATACTCTTTATAGAAAATTGTCTTTGCAACAAGTACTATTATAAGATCAAAGTGCAGAAAAGGTGGCTACAAATAAGTAGAAACAAATCCGTTCCCATTCTTTTATTCCTAAGAACAGACAGTGAAAATAAATGGGAGTGATAGAAGACTGAAATTTGAATACGGTGGGCAGTGCGAAATTGATGCTTTTGTGTTTTTCATGTGTAGTAGACCTTCTTCCTACATCTCCAGAAAGTGATTTCAGAAACTTCAGAACGAATCTTTCATACTCAGTACAACTGTATTTTAAGGACTAGCTTCGAGTAATTGCCAGAAGAGCAGAGGCAGAGACCTTTATCTAATAGATCAGATGTTTGAACTCACATATGGAAGTGGAAAAGCATGGCTAACCTCTCCTCTGCTTGAGAAAAGCTGATTTCACTTCTTCCAGATCACGTGAAGCACTATCACACAACAGAAGAAAAAAGATGAGGAAATGGTTAGATGTCTCAATTGCACATCAGCACTGCTAATTAAAATATTTATGTAGTAATTAAAATATTCACACCAGAAGGAGAAGCTTCCCATAGGAACTCACCATCCTTACAAGCAGGCTAGAAAGTCATCCTAAGTTTCCAGGTTCTCTAAGAGATTCATAAAATATTGATTGCTCCATTATAACTGAAGGTATATCTGCATGTTCTCTCCAGAGAGAGTATATCCAGTTTACAGGCATTATTTTCCTGGTCAGTAGGCTTTGTACCAAAACATTTTGGTTTTTAACACACTGCCCTGGTCTCAAAACCAACCTGTGGATGTAGATGACTTCAAATTCAGCCAATTTCAAACCTCTGGTAAAGCTCTCTTCAGTCCAGTTACTAGACAGAGAAGTTATATAGACTATTTTTTTTCTCACTTTTTCTTCTTCCTCTTCCTGGTCTGTTCGCTCTCACCTGTAATCTCCACCAAGTATTAAATACGTTAAAAGGAAAGAAAGGAAAGGAACAAGGAAACCAGAAGGTTACTGGAAAAGAAAGGCTATGAACAGAGAGGAGGAGCTACAAAGTAGTTAGAATGGAAAGAAAAGTTGACAAAAGCAGTGCTTGATGAGCCAGTTAGTGAAACCCGGGAAGCTGAGTAACAGAAATACAGACCATAGCAGAGCAGGTGGGCAGACAATCTTAGTGAACAACAGCATCATCAACAAAAGCAATATTCTAAAGTAATTCTAGTTTTTTACTACAAAGCATAAGAAATTTTATGTACTGGAGATCTTGCAGTGCAGCTATCAGAATAAGACAGATTGGACTGAAGAAATCAGCAGTGACATGCACAATTTGAGGCCATATTAATATTTTATACTTCTATACATCCATGAAGTTTTACACTGTCAGGCACATGACCTGAGCACTATCAGAACTGGAAGATTCTTACATTACCCACTGTTCATCCACTGCTGCTTTGATGGAAGCATAGCTGCTGCTAGCTGGGAGAGATGGCATCACAGCCACCTTACAGGAGTGATGATTTTCTGATATTCTATTTATCTTACAAAACTAATATATTGACTACTCCTGAGAAAAGGAGCAAGAAATTGACCTTTGCAGCAGTAGGTGACTTAACTGACAGACACCAGTGGTGTTGTCTTAGATGATTTCAAAGAATCGCACTGTCAGGATCCCAAAGCTGGTTCCCATAGCAACCACAGATGATGCATGACTGTATTATGTTTGATTTCCCAAACATCATTTCAGCTCCTCCCTGAGATTTAGTTCTTGTTTGTTTGTCAAGTCAGTTCTCTGAAAAGCATGTTCCATTGAAAGACTCCAAAAATTAATCCTCCACCTATTTCTTGGTAAAACATGGTTTTTGCTCACAGAGATTTACAGTTTCAATCAAACAAATGAGATTGGGCTACTCTCCAGATTTCATTGCCAGGCCCAGTGAAGTTGTTCCCCAGAGCAATAAAAGAATTTGTCAAAAGCAACCCAGTACAGCCTATTAGGTGGAAGTGGCAACCCAAGAAGGAACAACAGATAGATTAATAATCTTTTGTGTAAAGTGGAGAATCTGTATTTCAATCTCTGTTAGAGAACCAAGCAGAAAAACTGCTGGAGGTTACACTTTAGGCCGTGAAATAGGGGGCATAATTAGCAATTAAGAGAGTACTGTCTTAAGAGGAAAACATGAATATTAATTAATATCAGCCCTCTAGGATACAAATAACAATATGACTCTGGAGAAGGATGATTTCATAGAAGTTAATCAGTTTTGGTGCTACGATTATTGCTCTTACTTGCAAATGTGCAATAGAGGGCTTCATTAAAATAGTGAATAAAGTGTACTCTTCCATTCATGACACATGTGCAAATGTTAAAAGGTAAATGTGGAGGACTGGGAAAACAGTGACCCACTTCAAAGACAATGAAAGCTGGTGCATATGAATATAAATGCATACAGACATTGACATTGCACTTTAGATGGTGCAAAAAGAATGAAATATCTTGACAAATAAAAGTGTTGTGTAGTCTTATAGTTCTTTTTTTTTTTTTTTTTTTTTAACCCCACAACAAGCCCCTAAATTAGCTGGTTCCAGGCAGTAATTTTTTACTATGTTTTGCTCTAATGTACTTTCTTGTAAATTTAGTTCATACTGAATTTTCATTTTGCCTTAGAAGTATGCTCACAACAGCATATAACTCTGTAAAAGCAAGGAGTCTAAACTCTCCTGGGGAAAAATAAATGCACCTCTACAGGAACACTGAATGAAACCAAAATCAAATAACATCTCTATGTTACAATACAGGTATTAAAAGAAAACAGGAGAACAACTAGGAAGGGAGGAAGCTGTGGTAGCTGTGGCAGAATGAAAAATCGCTTACACTCATGATTAGCATACAGTCAGGAGGAGGCCACAGTTACTAACTGCATGCAAGAGGAACCGTGCAGCAAGTACATAGAAGTTGAACTTGTATTAATGCTCTGACATCACACTCTTTAAACAACATATATTCACATTGTCTAGGAAGGATAGACTATATTATACTCACAGTGGGGCTGGAGTCCTTGTAATGAAGACTGTGAAGCTGAGAAGAATCTTCAAACTTGAAAACTAGGAAAAGACAACAGGCCTGGAATAGCCTAGTACAGTCAGATGTGAACTACTAAGTTAAGTACACATGGCTAACATTCAGAACATCACTGAAAAGGCCAACGGTAAAACAAAATCCATAACCACAATAAAGATGAATCACAAATTGGAAAACATCAATGTTGACTGTCATGTGAAACAGTAAGAAACAGGGCAAAAGCAGAACAAGTAAGTACTTTGAGGTCAATAACTAAAGTCTAAAATGCATGACAGGAAAAAGAATGATTGGCATCAACCTGGCTCTCTGTGGCATCTTAGCTGGACATTAAGCCAGTCAACTATCATGTTGTCTGGAAACCAAATGTATAAGAATGACAAATTCTTATAAATAATTGAGATAAAATTGGACACAGAGAAGGTGTGAGAAATGTAGTACAGTAAACAAAGGATCTTATCAATTTCAACATCACACAACCTTTGTAGGGAAAGAGGAGCACAATGGAATCCCTATGACTGAAAATCCTACATCATATATGATAAAAACAGACTACTAGAATTGTAAGTTGGACTGAAACAAGCTTCAGTCTAGAGATCAGGAAATACTGAATGAGATACAAGATGATGAAAATTACATCAGTTTATAAAAGTGAAAAATTTCATGACTATAACAAAGTCTCGTCAGAATAAATTTTAGACATACAAATGGGTACAAATGATGAACCAAAAGTAGCTTTAGAACAGACAAGACAAGACTCCACTCTGGATTTGGCTGTGGGAGCACAAAATGGCAGATGAGCTTCATGATAGATAATTAGTAAGTAATACGAAGATTAAAATGTTCAAAGCCACGCCTGTATGATACTGAATGCTGAAGTCTCAGATATTGCTCTACATCCTACAGTAATTACTGACAGGTATCTAGAGTCCTTCAGACAACAGAAGTGTAATAACAGTTAAAAAAGGTCAAGAAAGTGCTGGACATTATCAGAAAGGATATGGAAAAGGGAATGCAGCAAGCTTCCTCAGTGCACACTTATCTCTAGTGATGCATGCAGTTCTAGTCTCTTAAAAACATAATTTAATTAGAATTTCAGAGGATAACAGAAATTATCAGAGATGGGGAACAGTTTACAATTAAAAAAACAAACAAACAACAAAAAAACAAAACAAAACAAACAGAAAACTCATAGATCTTTAAGCTTAAAGATGAAGAGTAAATGGCAGAAGGTGACAAGATTTATGTACAAAAAACCATGATAGGACTGGATAGCACTGAAGAAAATTAAGCTTCACGTTAAACCTGCAGTTCTGAAGCCAGGGAGCAAGTGATAGCATGATAGCATGAAAAAAAAATACAGGCCAAAACCCATTTAAGTTCAGGTGTTTCCTTGATGCTGTTAAATATAAACCTGTGGTTTAGATACTTCATTAGTAAGTGGTTTTATCCTCATCTTTGTGTTTAATAAGTACTGAAGGTCTTTTCTTCCATGAATTTCCCTAACTGCTTTTAAACCAATTTCTACTTTGGCATCCACTGCATCCTTTGGCAAGGATTTCCACAGCTTAATTAGGCATGGTTTGAAGCAGCACTTCCTTTTGTTCCTTTTAAAGCCTCTTGTCATTTCATTTGATATTTTTCACTTCTTATTTTTGTAATACATCATGGATAATCATTCCCCAACATCTTTCATGATTTTGAATGTCATTAATTAAATACTCTTCCTCATATGTTTATTTGAGATTAGCTGTACTAAGTATCTTTATTTACTTTCACCTGTTCTATAACTCTGTTAAATTTCATATCCTTTCTTATATTTTCCAGATTATTATACATTTGAGATGAGAGGATCACAATTTATTGTAATATTAAAGATTTAAGAGCATCACAAATAAATGCAAACTGGCCTACAGCAGTACTTCTTGTTTTTCCCTTTTCTTTCATCCATTCCTGAAAATTCCTACATGCACTTTTGCAACCTCTGAAAGCATAGGTGTTTTAATGGCACTAAGACCTCTTTCTTGAGAGTTTAGAGAAGGTTAATACATATTTTTTCAGCTATGCAGTAACTAGGATTTTCCTTGTCTTTCTTTATCTATTCTGAATTTCATCTGGCACTTTTTGTTCAGCCACTAAGATATCAGGATAGTGAAATAACTCAGAAGTTAGGGATTGTTCTCATTATGTGACATCATTTTGTATTATCAGAGAACTTTGTCACCTAAATATTCTTCATTGTTTCAAATAATTTATAAGTAGACTGAAGAGGACTTTTCACTTCATTTATCTGTAGAATGGGAGTAATTTTGAACAGCATTTTTACCTCTTCTCGTATACAGTTTTCCAGCCTTTATAACTGTTGTTTTACTGCTGCATCACTTGTTTAGATGATGATGATTTTAATTTTAAAGAACTTAGGAAGCTTCTTATAAAATGAAATCCTTCTTTCCTATATAGCTTTTGAGGGGGGAACTACACCCAGAATGCATTTCCTAGCTAATCACTTAAACTTTGAGTCCAGAACCTCTCTCCTGCTTCTCCTCAGGTTGCTGATACAAAGGGTCATGGCACTCAAAGGAAATCAGCATGCAGTTATTGGTAACACCAGAGGGTATACATATAAACACCTAACAATCAGATCTACCCACTGTGGTTGCCTGATTATCAGTTAAACTTTCTGCTGTAGGGCATGCTCACTAAGAAAACACAAATCTGTTGACTGGTACAAACATTCTTTACATGATCTGCTTCAGCTCAATGCTTTCCGCTTCAAATAATCTCTCCCTCTTACATGCAGCTTAGAGGTAAAGCTGTACTGTGATGTTATCTGACTTGTTGAAAACATGTTTGCTTTCTTGTGCTCCTTTGCTCTAAGCACACTGGCAGAAGCATCAGAATTTTGTGAAGATCACATGTACCACATGCCATTAAACCTTCATGGCGGATAATTAGACCTACTGTGCTCCATGCTGAAAACCCTAAAATTTCTTTCCTTTAAGCACAAAATCAGATATCTTCTTTTTAAGTCCTATGTGGATTTCCTTCTACATTTTGATTTGGAAAGTCCTGGTGGGGAGAAAGGGTATTTTTTGGTTACTTATTCTTTCAAACCAACAAGTTTCCTCTTTTCCCTGTCTACTGCCACACCCCAAATGGTTAGTAATGTTGCCTCCACAAGCTCCTGGCTCTTCAACACTCCTAAACCTTGACATTTTCAGCTTTATAGCTTTACTAGTACAGGGGACTAAATAGGTCTTGAGTTTTCTAACCAGCATGCTTCATAATCACTCAGCTAATATTAGGTTCATTTATGAGAGAAATTTAAGTTCTATATTTTGAATTGTAGAAAAACAGGGGTATATCAAAGTAAACATTACTAATTCCTGAACCACATTTAATAAGGATGATCATTTACTACTACAGTTTCAAAACTCTTTGCTTCTCAAAAAGAGCAGTGTAGATCAACATTTTATTAGAATTCTTAGAGAACTAGCATCTTAATGGATTCTTCCCGGGATATGTTATTAGCACACCCAAAAGCTGAATCACTGTTTCCTGAAATAGCTCAGGTTGGTGTTTGATACGCTAACTCACAAGCACTCCTTAATCAAAAACAGACTGCACAATTTGCCCATAGATGCTCCGTAGGCCTCCTCCTCATCACTCCTAAAATACTGTTAAAGGGGCAATCTGTTCTTTCCTGAAGTGTCTACCTAAGCAATGACCACTGTAATGTATACTGGAATTCTGTTTCAACACATGTACAGCTGTGTATTCAAAATATTATTATATGAAATACCAAGTGAATATTTTTCTTGTTATGGTTACACAAAATAGAGGAGCACTGTTAATAGATAAGCTTAGAAAGATCTGATATATGAGAAATATAACAAAGTCATGTAAGTGATAAAGCAGAATTTTGCGAGAAGGCATTATATAAAATCATGACAATAAACCAGCTATTGCTGACTTTTCATTTAGAGAAAAAAAGAGTTTATTAAGCAAAGAGAGGCTAGTCTAACTTGCTAACACAGAAAATTTTAATAACTAAGCAGAGCCTCTAAATAGTAATTCCTTTACTTGTTCCACAGTAATTTTGGTTTTATTTTGAAGGAAGGATTTATCCTGCATGGAAATGAAACAAAAAAATTAATTCTAAGTATTCACTTTCCATTTTAGCCCCTGCTGAGAATGTCCTTGATTTTTGATTTGCGATTTTACTGGCATGTGTATTAAAACACAAAAATCAACAGCAAATTAAACACAATCTGTTTTCATTCATGGTCAGGTATTTAAAGTTATATGTATTGTTTAGAACATACTTTGCAGTGATTTATTCTTAGCACAGAACAGTAGGCTTTATCAGAAACAAATCCATACATTTTATAAAAAAAAGAGAAAAGGTTCTGGCTGCATATTGAAATATCACATGCTATTTGCTTAACTTCATTTCAGACTGAAGAAACTTTTAGCAAACCAAATGTTGCTAAATACCCTATCAACAAGACCATGTGCTGGGTCCTGCACTTTGGTCATGGAAGGCTGTAAAGAGGAAAAGGATTTGGCAGTGTTGGTTAGCACTTGACTGAACATGATCTAACAGTGTGCCCAGATAGACAAGAAGGCCAATGGCATCCTGGTTTGTATTAGAAATAGTGCCACCAGCAGGAGCAGGGAGGTGATAATCTCTCTGTACTCAGCCCTGGTGAGGCCACTAAAAGTACTGAGTTCAGTCTTAGGCCCTTCACTACAAGAAAGACATTGAGGCCAAGGAGCACACCCAGAAAAGGGCTATGTAGTTTGTGAGGGGTCTAGAGTGCAAGTCTTATGGGGAGCAGCTGAGGGAACTGGGATTATTTAGGCTGGAGGAGTCTCAGGAGAGACCTTAATCGCTCCCTACAACTACCTGAAACGATCTTGTGGCAAAAAAGGGGCTGATCTCTTCTTCTGCCTTCTTCTGGATTCTGGACCAGAGGGCATGACCTCAATTTGTTCTGTGGAAAGTTCAGGTTGGATTTTAGGAAAAAATTCTCCAGAAGATTGGTCAGGCACTGGTACAGTCTGCCCATGGAAGTGGTGAAGTCACCATTCCTGAAAGTGTTCAATAAACCTGTAGATGTGGTATTTCTGGACATGGTTTAGTGGACAATATTGGTAGTAGCGAGACAGTTGGACTAGATGATCTCCAAGGCCTTATACAACCTTATTGACTCTGTGATTCTGTGATCTCAATTTCATCCCAAATACCAGCTATATTATGAATCATCGCAGCATCGTATTCCTCAAAGTGATACCAAAAAAAAACCCTAGAAATAAGCAAATGGGTATCTGCTGTTGTACAGTGTTGCTGCTACTGCTATTCTGCTTCATTAGCAAAGAAATCAGAGCACACAAAAAAAAACCATTAATTCTTATTTTCCAATCCTTTCCAATACAAATCACCTTATTTCATGCATTGTATAACTTCAGTCCTACGGTGGCTTACACAGTTAATGCCAAGAGCGTATTGATACAGAGAAACCATATCACTACAGCAGAAGCTACCAAATGAATATAAAGTAACAGAAGATTTGTATTTTTCCATTTCAAGTGGCTTTGTCAATTTACATTTTCATTCTCCTCTATCATGTTTGTTCCCCTATTGACTTTTTAAATCAACATTTTGCTTCCTTTGAACTTGTTCCAGACTACATAAGGTAACACACTTTATCTGTACTATGCATAACACATAGGGTTCAATTTGAATGCCTGCTTTGGCATTGTTTCAGTTTCTCAGTGACAGCGTACACTCTACCAGTGATACATATACTTCAGATTAAAGGGAAGAAATTTTAAAAAGTAACTACATATAATAAATCAAAATCAAATAGAAAGAAGTTAAGAAAATGTCTGCAGAACAGACTCCATTTTTCAAGTTGCTCTATCATTCTATCAAAAATAGAAAGTAATTTGATGTAAACGTAGTAGTCTCAGAAATTCTGTACAGAACTGAGAAAATATTATATTCTTACTTATATACTTTATATACAAGCAAAGAGCAAAGAGAATCAATCAGAAGCTAGATGCTGATGAAGAGTAGCATTTAAGTATCATTCTCTCCATCTGGATTTTAGGACTTTAGCTATTATTTTTCTAATAGATCTTGTGCATAGCTGCTACAGACAAATGAACATAGCTTCAAAATTAATAATTCTTGTCCTCTTCCTTACTATACAGTAGAATATCTAACACTAAATTAACTTCAAATCCTGAAATTAAGACTAGGATAAAATTAAATTATCAATTCGTAAGGTGAGTGGTAGCTTATTCTTTGAATTTCCCCAGTATTTACCCTAAAAATAAAATTAAGGGTAAGAGGGAAGATCTACATCAATTTCTTTTTAATTTTATCAAACAGACCAAAGCAAAGGTAACTTTAGTTTTTCTGGTGCCACACAGAAACATTATTAAAGAATAACCAATATTGGGGAAAAATGAATGAAAGAAGCAATATTTACACAGCTGCTTGTCTCTGACAAGCTCAGTTATCCTTTTCCTTTCTTTCCTGCTAGAGACTTGCATGCTAGCCAACTCAATTTTATGAAGAAGGATAAAAAAAATATCGTGTTTGGAGCAAACAAGATTAAAGGTAACAATTGTATTCTACAATGAAGAGGATTATATTTTGTAGGAATGGTTTTCAGGTATGTTATATGGGCTTCTGGTTGAACAAAGATGTTTTTCCTTGTATTAAATGTGTAAACAGTATATCAGTTGTCAGTCACTGCACTGATGTCCATCAGAAAACCACCAAATCATGTAAAAAGTAATGTGGAAGCCTATTGCATGCATAATACTAAGAAGTTCTGCCCACTGTTCTGCTTCAGATTAACTGAATTGACAACATAAAAATACGGAGTAAGTGCATAGTCTCATACACAGCATATTACATTTCAAAGTAGTTATACGAAAGTCATAAAAACTTTTCATAAGTTGATTGACATACATTAGCTCTGACACTGTTGTGCAAATTCATGGTAAGAAACAGTTATTATCTAGCAAAATAATTTATTGTGCTAATTATACTCATTAGTTACCTTTCTAGAATAGCCCTTTTTCACCTGATGAACCTCCACATCACTGTCTTCATCCTCCATCTTTCTTCTGTTTTCCGTCTCAAACGTCTCAAAACATATCAGAAGACTTTAAAGAATGGGCACAGGCTAGAAAAAGGGTCCAAAAAGACAACATACTGTCAAGCATTCATTTAATTTCAGAGATATCATGAGGCTCTTTCTTTCTGTGAGATTCCTAAAACATCCTTGGGTGGATTCCAGATATTATGATGGTTGAAAGTTAAATGGACCAAGAGTTGTGGAGACGGGAATTCAACAGTAACTCTGTCTCTACTAAGCTAAAAATCACAAAAAAAGAAAACAAAAGAAAATTAATAAAAGAGATTAGTCATTCTCCTAGATTTTTTTATATCATCTTTACTTATAAGTCCCTTGCATATATTTTTTATTATTTTTAAAGGCAATTTATTTTATTATTTTTTAATTTATTATTTTTTCTTATTTTTCTTATTTTTATTAATTTATATTTTTAAAAGGCAAATTTCTAAAGTTCAATTTATTGTTGTTTGATTGCCTTTTAAAAATATATAGGGAACAGATTTCTAACAAGATCACTGTATTGTTCTACATCTCTTCTTAGAGAATGTGTTGCACTTTGAGCTTTCGGTGTCTATAGTATCCCAATATCTATATGTACCTAGGAGTAGGACATCTGTGGTTCTCTAAGTCCATGCTCCAGAAGTTTACTTAGAAATATCATAAACAATTTTCCCCTTCAGTGCACAGTATTTGAACACTTTCTCTGAGATAAATGAAACTGAAATACATTTAGTTAAACTCCAATCATTGTTTAGAAATACAGGCACTTATTTCTGAATGTTCTGAAGGACTTGATTACCTAAATAATGTGAAAGTACATGGCTAGTATATACAAAAAAAATGTAAAAACTTGTCTTCTATTCTCATAGTCTTCATTCTTCAAAAAGAAACCAGTTACTGACAAAACTTATCTTACAAAAAGGAACCAAAACTTCACTGTAGAACTATGTTGATTAAATCAGTATAGATTAAGAAGTTTTAAAATGAGTTTATATCTAGTAAAAAAAAAACAAAACAAAACCTCAATATGAAAGACATTAGGCAAAGTTTCACAGTAAAAATAAAACATTAAAGCTGTGTTGAATGAAATCAGCCAACTGTCTATCCTAGATTCAGTACTTCCATTAATGAGTTAGATAATGGAAGGACCTTCTTTGAATTTGAAGGCAATATGAATATAGAAGGGGAAAGGTGTATAAAGTGTTTTCAGTGCTGCCAGGAAGGATGTGATTTAAAAAACGTTCTTGACTAATTGAGGCAATACCCTGAATTATGTAGGATGTAATTTGCTAAGAGGAAGAGAAAATTTTTAATAGGCAAGAATAATCTGCTGTGCAAATACAAGCACTTAGCCACCAAATAGCAGATCTACAAAAGCAGATATGTGAGCTATAAAAGGAGATTTATTTGAAAACTGGGGAGAGATTCTAAGTGTCCTTAAAACATGACAAAAGCTTCCTTAAATAAAGCGTGTTTTCTCTGTCTACACTCAAGATAGGACAAGAAGAAATAAAAGCAAACTGTATTAAGGAGCATTCATGTTAGATTATATGAATTCTAGAAGTAAAAGTCAACCATGGAGTTCCTGAATCTGTTTTACTGACAATTTTTAAGAACAAAATATATTAAAAAAAAAGGGGGTGTATGGATTTGATCCTGACTTGGAGGATGGAATTGGACTCAGTGACTTCTTGAGTTAACTTACAGTCTTCTATGATTATCAACTCATCTGTCACTGGCCCTGCACATTTCAGTTGGAGAGAAATCTGTCTTTCACTTCACTGTCATTTCAAACACAGTATTTTCCTAGCTATTATCTTGCAGTGGATTGAAAAAGCTTGCAACGCCCTATTTGTATTATTTGTTGTTTTGCACATATTTAATGATTACTACCACTAATAATATACTACATCTTATGATTACAGTCTCATAGAGCAGAGTGCCAAGATCTTTAACATTTTTGAGCATAGAATCAGGAAAAAGCTGTCACTCTTTCTTCTGTCATTTTTACTTTTGTAAAATAAGAGAGAAAACTGTCTTGCCTAACTGAATGTATGTCATCAATTGCAAAATCAGACTAACCACAGTTTTCGTATCTTGCAGACCAGCATGTCAGAAACAGAGCTGCTGTCATCTGTTAAATTAGCTCCTAGCATGCTGGGCTGCTAGGCTCTCAAATTATTAATTTTTTATAAACAGAAGTTGTTTCAAAGAAAACAATCCATACCAACTTAGAATAGCTCCTATTCTCTTTGTGTTCTGTCTTAAGATTTTGCATTAGTATCTTTCATGCTCCATTGCTTGGAACACTGTAAAAGCAGGGATATGATTAGATTACCTAGGAGCTCTGTATATGCCGCTTCGCTAGGTCTCCTCAAAGGAAAATTGAATTGGTATGACAAGACTTTTTCTTATCTTGCTGACCATATCAACTGTTGATATAGATCTGCTAGTGAAACATTTTTAATGTACAATTATGGACACGCCAATCAAAACCGTAGTTCCAGATAAGTAAATTTTGCACTTCAGGCTAGAATGTATATTCCATGTTAAGTATGAATGTAACTAATCCTCTCAAAATGTCAACTCATAATTTGAGCAGAGATAATATTGTCTAAGCAGATAGAAGTAACAGTGTGTGCTAGTTTACAGAAACAATGTTAAAATAGAAAAGAACTCTAAGATATTTCCAGACAACACATTAAAAAACAGCTTTTTGGAAAAAGATGTGGGGGCCCCAGGAGACAACACTGAACAGAAGCCAGCACCTTTGCAATAAGGAGTGCATTTTTCTAAATATGAGTAAATACAAATAAATAGTATTGACTATAAAATGACAAATCTTATCACACACACACACACACACACACACACACACACACACAAAAAAAAAAAAAAAAAAAAAAAAAAAAAGGTATACGTTGCTTTACAAGGTCTGAACTCAAAAATAGTCCTATAAAACAGTAGGAAAAGAAGTATATATAAATAAAATTCACACTGTTGTTTCAGATAACTACTTGCACATTTCAAACAGATTGTATTTAAGGAGTACACTGAACTCACAAATATAGACTCTGAAAATGAAAATACACTACGTAAACCACAGTCATACAAAGGTGTTGACGAATTTATAGAATCTGAACTCTGAGTTTTTATATGACAACCAATTTCAGTTTTCTATATAAACCAAAACACGTGCTTGTTAGTGTTACACTATGAAATTACCTTTCTTTTATTCCGTAAATAACCCTGTAGTATTTCCACAGATAGCCCTGTAATATTTCTCTTTCTTTTGAATATCACTTTATGTATTGTGATTCTTGCCTAACACACCTGATTTTTAACTATTTTTTAATCTAATGTATATAGTTGAGAAAGCATGTTCCAATCATGTAATTTTGCAAAATTTTTAAATCACTTCAGTTAAATTCTGAGATGATGCAGTTAGCAATGAAGTTAACATACCCAGACATGCATGCAGATTTCAGACTCTTAAATGCAATTCCCTGATAACATATTTAACTTCAAAGCTCAGCTTATCCCACTGAAGTTTATAGCACTTCCTAAACTGGAAGCTCCATGTCCACAGGAACAAAAATGGAAATGTGCAAAAAGAACAAAAACTTGAAAAGTGTTTAGATACCTGTTGGTGTGGATAGATACCTTCAGAAGGATTTTAGAGTGACCTTAAACCCTTCTGGAAGCTGAACACAATGATAGGATTTGCAAGAATGCACATGCAATAAGATGATTACTCTCTTACCTAAAAATTCAAATTACCAAGACCCTGCTCAACTGCCATATACTCTGGAAACATCACAGATATTCTATCAATAAAATGATCATAGTACATAAATACCTCTTACTAGACAAGTGCAGAATGATCCAGTTAGTCATATAATCAAAATATGGAGTTCTTATCCTTCTCCTGCCTGACAGGACACGATAACATATTCTGAGCTGCATCCTGTGTATCTGTTGATGTTTTAAACTGCAAAATTTGAGAAAAAGAGAGCAAGAAAAACACTATCACTTAAAAGGCAGATAATAGTAAGGTAGAGACAGACTATCTGAAATATTTCTTAGTTGTTGCAGCCTCCTTTTGGGAGAACAAACTTTCAATTGCTGATAATAGTCAACAAGAGGAAAGGGAAAAGGAATTGGTTAGAAAAACACTGTAGAATTGCTCCAACTAGTTCTGTCCTCAACAGTTTCATATGAACATTTTATTGCAGATATTGTACAGAGTGACATTTAATAGCAAAGAAATTAAAAATAAAAATTAAAAATAACAACAACTATATATTATGTGCAGAATAGATCAGTAAGTATAATTGTTCTCTCAGAATAACTGTTCAAGTACAGAATTACATTGACAGCTGGTATTTCATAGAAAACTGTACATCTATTCACACGGGAAACACATTGTAAAATGAGACTGTCCCCTGCAAAACTACCCTGAAATGGAGCAAATAAACTGTATAGTATTTAGCATCTACTTGATCCAAATCTGTCTGTTATGCTGTTGCTTGGATTGTTTGATAGCTGAGTTTTAGATCTGTACTTGTTTCAAAAAAGAAGACAGCACTATTAGCTCTAAGGAGGAATAGAACATTTTTGCTAAGTATTTTCTTTGTTATCCTCAAAATGACTGCTTGAATAATTTTGTGCTCAGCTGGTAAGGCTCTGATAACTAAATACAGCACCATTTTCCCTATATGATTCTGTAACTACCAAACTGAAATACATGTGGATTTTAATATCTTCTGAAAGAGGTCTTGTTTTGAAATGACTCTTAATACAATTTGATCAATTGTCATTCCCTCAAAATTCATGGAAAACAGTGAAACTGTAGCACAGAATATGTGCACAGCGTATGTACAATTATTTCATGCTGAAAACTCCTCAGAAATACAAGGCAGAAACAGCAGGTAGGCAAGGTTGTAATAAGAAAAGTAGCCCACCTCTTCTTCCTGTTTCCCTTCAAATATAGAAAAAGCAGTATACTTTGATGCATATTTGTTCAAGTGAGATTGAGAGCTGAGACTAGCCAATGCTCAGAAAGAGCAAAAGTGTAAGCAAATATTTATCCAGAATCTTATTAGAAATGCCCTGAGTTTCCATGTTACACAAGTTCAACCATCATTTTAAATCTCTCTATTAATTCACAGGCAAGAGAAGATGAGAACACTTCAGGGCTACACATTCACCCCCAGGCGAAGGTTGGAAAGTTGTTCCATGTCATCCAAAGCAACAACTCCAGCTGATAAATAACAAATAGCCTAGAGTCAAGAATGGTCAATGTGACATGAGGACACAAGTTCACTGGACAAAAAAAGTTGAGAGTTCCTCTGAATGCAAGAAGTAACCATCTTTGTCAAGAGTCTAGGTGCTTTACACACACTCATCTACTGTGCATACCTGCCACATAGATCCAACCGCTCTGTTCCTCCAGGCTCTGTCTTCAGGGTCTGAACATAACCTAGGAATTCGTTTTGCAAACGTCCCTTTTTCTAAAAGCTGAAACTTTACAGCTCAGGAGATCACTACACTACACACTCCTCATGCTTTTTGACTTGCTTTAACTCCACAGATTAATTCTCAGTAGAGATGCTTAGCTGCACCATGCATATGCATGCAGCACTTTTTAATAGCAGTTCTCAGACATGAGATGGCTGACACGTCTAGACACAATAATAAACCCTAATTTTTTTCATTTCCTTAGCAATGGATTTATGTAATGCCCATTGGTGCAGAAAAACCTTTCACAACCTTCAGATCTCCTGAATCATGAAATTACCTTCACCAAGAGAGGTGAACATTGCTACATTTTAAGTCTACAGTAGTGTTGTAAAGAACAGAAGAGTCTCCAGAACTCTTTCATGTCCTTCTGGCCTGTTTGAATGTCCGCCTTTTCAAAGTCTAACACCAGTTGTTGCTATTGTTGCATACTTTGGCAATTTACCACCTTCCCAGCTCTAACCTTTTTCAGTGAGGTTCCAGCAAGTTGATTTCTTTCTTTCTTTCTTTCTTCTTTTTTCTTCCAACAGCAGGAGGTTCCTGTGCTGGAAAACATGATAGTTTCACTCACAGAGTCCAACACAACAGAACTTTTAACAACACAGCAGTTCCTACTAGCAGCCAAAATTGAAACAAAAATACTTCTGCACTTACTCACTGTTTAGCAAATTACTTAAAAACATTTGTTTCACTGAGCAAAGAGGTGCTGTATTAAATTAGAACTTGCTGGGTACAGGAGAAGCATGGAGAGAATTAACTCACCGAACCTGCACTGACAGTCTGCTTGCTCCTGAGAGTATTAAATGTAAACTGCTTCTTTCTCAAGAAACCTCATTTAAGTTACCACAAGTAGAGCAGCTGGGAAAATAAATCTTTGCTTTAATGGTTGTAATTTTCTGTTAGTTTTCATTTTCAGCAGATAGCTTGAGAGAAGAAATTCCCCCATGTGCATCACTTCAAGTGCACACAACAGCAAACAAAAGAGATATCTCCTGCTTCTGCTTCTTCCTTACTTCAAGTATGCTCAGTAGCAATCACCAAAAAAGAGGAAAAAATCAACAAGACATATGGGAAAATGCATATATATATACATGCGACTAGATGTGGACCCTGCTACATGACTCAGCTACTATGATATCTGGAGTGATTAGTGATTACAACAGATTTATAACTCTCCCTGTCACGGGATGGAGGCAATGTGGGTGAGCAGAACATTGCAGCACTAGCTTCTTGGAAACAAACAAGTTGTAATATTTGTGTGCATCCTTACAGCAGTCTGCAAGAACAAATAAATAGCTGAACTGGGAACTGCCAAAGCACATGGAGATCTAAGGAACTACCTTCCATTCAGGAGGAAGTGGAATCCACAAACTTAATCAGATTCCATAAATGAATGTATACTAGTATGAATATCAGACCAGTCAGGGAAGAGCTGTGAAGCCAAATGTTTCACACATTTAAATATGAACTGGTTATTATCACTAAGAGAAGGATGAATTAATAGCCCTTCAGATGAATCCTTCAGATGAAAAAATAAGAATTTAGTAGTATTTTGTAACTCCGGTGATATCTCTTATTTATATAAATTCTTTTTTTTAAAAAGAATCTTACTAAAGTCTTGGATTCAATTGCACCCTAATTACACATTCCTTCTTATTCCCTTCTTTTTGGCTCTGTGTCTCTTTGTTTTAACAAATAGAGGGATAAGAAGTTCAGCATCATTCTTTTATGCTTCACCTTAAGCATTCGGTACCTCAAACGATGCACACATTTGAGCTACGCTGAGGTATTAAAGATAAGGATTATCAAGACTGCAGAAACAGAAAATAGGTATGCATACTACTGTATGGTGAACAAAATTAAAACTGAGTAAGAAGTATTAATCAGTGGTCAAGACAAACTGAAATTAAATATTCCTTCCTAACAAAGTGGAAGTTATAAATATGCATTAGCACGAGACAGGGCAGTTATGTTCAACTATATCTCAAGTATTTAGCCAACTTCATGTCACGGAATGTCTTAAAGGGTTAAGTGGAAAACTTCCATGCTTAAATATTATGAGATTGCATATTACAGTGTTTCTTTGGCATGAAAGTGTTTCTGTGATCCTGGACACTGCTGTATTCTGCAGTAACAGAGGTCACTGAAAAATTAAAGATACTAGAAGAGCAGTAAGGGTAAAGGAAGCAGCTAGCTGCGCTGGCTGACAGGCAGTGGACTGTGAAGCATCAGCATGGCTGGGCTGAGGCTCAGTCATCTGAGAGAAATAGGTACAAATGCTGCTTTGCAGCCAGTAAATGCAAAGTGTGAAGGGGGTACTAACAGCACAGGAAAAAGAAACCAAGTAGTTATAACACTGCTTCACCAAATCAGAGAAGGCAACTGAAAGATTCAAGTCCTAGGAAAAGCACATATGACATCCCATCTAACCTATCTTCCCTCTTTCTTTGTTTTATCTCTCTTGCTTTGCTAAGCCATTTTGAGTCAGCATTTGCAAGCAAGCAGAAATAACTCTGGGAGTAATAAAAGCAGTTTACTGTCACTTTCTCAAGGCTCTAGTCAAGGCCTGAAGAGATGTTAATTAAAGACCAGTGAACTGAGACCCTTATTGCCACAAATGTTGGTTAGTGGGCTACACTGACATTAATCATGTTTTAAATACTCTTCTCTGTTTCCTAAAATAGGCAAATTTTTTAAAGTTTTATTTCACTGTGGAAGTTTTCCAAGGTCTTAATCATTGTCTCTCTTAATTTTCTGCAGTTCTAAATAACCTTTGTCAGACAGTCATCATTCTTCACAGAAGAAATGCAAGACAAATAATACTGCATGCAATGGAAGCAGATGTCTGCAATAAAACTGCCTTTTTCACTGAGCATCAAAATATGTCTTTTTTTTATAGTCAATAGTTTTGATTAGACAACATGCCCCTTATTCCTTACAGCTTTGCTCATATTAACAAATGTCAAAATAAATGCAAATATCATATTCACTGAAAAACCAACAAACAAAAAGAGACAATAGAAACATTGGCCCTGAATGGCATACTCCATGAATCATACAAAGAATAGACGTGGATGAGATTTTATACTACATTGAAAACTACTGCAGTAGAAAGGGCTGAACAGTTTCTGTATTAGTTTCAGAATATTTTTTAAAAGTCATTAGCAAAATAGTCATCATTTCTCTACTTGCTACAAGTGGGATTTTCCGCAACATATTATTCTACAGTTTACTACGATCAGTAGTACTACAAACAGTAGTACTGTCTGTAGTAAGAAAAATCAACCTATGCTATTAAGCAGCAAGAATGAACCTGTCAGCAAGTCAGCTAGAAGTGTAATACAAGGTCACCTGTTGATGAAGGCTCAGACCATCTTCTCTTAACGGCATATTTTGTACATTGATTCCCAGAGGAGAGCCTAAAATCAAACTGATTTATTCCATAAATGGTTCCGAAAAAAATTGAATTTTAAGGTAACCTCAAAGCATTGTGTACTTAATGACATCTGTCAATACAGACCTCATTGCCTATTATTTTAGTGTTTCAATTTGAATACTCCCTTGCACCTGTAGAGATTAATCAAGATGTCTCTTTTTTAGCTCATCAGGAGTACAGATTATGTGTTGTTCCATCCATTTCTGTTGCTCCTATGGACTGGACAAAAAAGAGCTCTCGTGAAGCTGTGAAGACTGTCTTCAAAAACACAAGCTGCAGCCCTGAGGAAGCAGATTAGCTGACATTGATACAAGGTTCAAAAACCTGTTCAGCTGTGATTCTTGGTCTTGCACATTAGAGGTTAAGCAGTATTCCTCTTACACTCTTTCTGATTTTTATGTTTCATCTTTTAGGGCATACAAGCATGACTAAAAAGCTAAGGAACTGATTAAATTTTCTAATTTAATCTCACCATGCCATCAGTAGTTTCCTGACTTTATGTTTTCTTTTGCTTCAGCAACTTTTCTCTATTATTCAACAGCAGTTGTATACTTATACTTAATTTCTTCAACATTATTGAATTAAAAAAGAAACAAAAATAATACATGAAGTTTCCTTTTTACATATATATGCATGCACTTTTACACATAAAAATACATTGCATAATAAAAATAAATAAATCTTGAGAGTACTGAAACAAAACTATGCCAGTATTTCGAAGTACTATTCCTTTGATGTGTTTCTCATGCAGATTGTCATATTTATCAAAAGGTTGTAGAAAATCAGGAGTTCTCCAAAAATCTAATCTCCTGTGTGAAAAATATAACTTTTTGCCCGAGATAAAAGACTTCTAGGAAAAAATAGATAAGCAGGACAAGTTAAAAAAAAAAAAAAAAAGAGCTGTTTTGAAAATGATTGCTTCAGTGCATTTTACATTAAAATTTCAGGAATTGTCTCTACGTACATAAAACCAAAACAAAAACCCAAGTAGAAGTGAGGTATCACCGAGATGAGATTTGTTTTATAGATTCCCTATTTTTATACCAGATTTTATAATGTATTATTAAGAAATTAAACTTTAGAAAATAATTGGTAATGGAAAAGAATTAGAAGAATCAGCACTTCCATTGTTTAGCCATAACATGTTTGACCCAATTCTAGGAGTATTAAGGCCAGATTTTCTTTACCTTTCCAAAGATGGTCATCAAAGCTGTGCTGTTGTACAGGTGGATGTATTTCTTCCTTTCTAGCTGATATTCCTCTGTGCAACTGAAAAAAGTTCCAGGAATAACACTGTTATATTTTTATATCATACCATTTCAGTAAAATACTTTAAGCAACATTCAGTTTCTGTTGTTTCTCATGCCAACAGACTTATCTAAACCATCGCTCTTTCCTCTTCACATCTGACTCAGCCTGTCTAGGTCAACAGAGGATGCTAACACTAATCAAACATTTTAATCAATTTTAAAAAATTGATTAACATCAATCAATTAAAGAGAAGAGGCAGAAACCCATAACACAAGGATTACTTTACATTTTTATTCCTTTTTTTTCCTCTTTTAAAAGAAAATGCTGTTTCCAATGCCAACATTAATTTCCAGTTTCACAAAATCATAGAATGGCCTGGGTTGAAAAGTACCACATCTAGTGGTACTCTAGTCATCCAGTTCCAGTCCCCTGCTACATGCTGGGTTGTCAACCACTAGACCAGGCTTCCCAGAGCCACATCCAGCCTGGCCTTGAATGCCTCCAGGGATGGGGCATCCACAATCTCCTTGGGCAACCTGTTCCAGTGCATCACCACCCTCTGAATGAATTCATGATTTGTTCCATGAAAATAAGCTTTTGCGCTGGACATCCACATGCACTTGCTTGGTTTCATTCTCATTTATCCAGTTAGGGCCTTAAGCCACTCACAACTTTGCTTTCAGTAATGTCTGCAGAGAAGTTTTCTCCTGTGCTGGAAGACGTGATTTGTGGCAAGACAGGCCCTTACTACTGGCTCGGAACTGCTCACCATTTTAGGCATGAACTGGGCTGTCAGGTAAGTGCTACCAGCCCCAGAACATCACCTGCAAATCAACCTGATCAAAGAAGCAAATTCATTTCTGTTGGGTGCTCCTGCTGGTGCTCAGACTGGAAAGCAGATCAAGCATTTTAAATGGGATGAGACGAATGTTGGATGAGAAAATTATAGAAAGGATAGGATGAAAGTACAACTTCAGCATGCTGCCCTCACCTGCTGATTTCCTATCTGTCTTCATTTCCTCTTACTGCAAAAGAACTTATGCTTATGTGTTTCTCAATTTTGCCACTTCCAGAGCAAAATTTTCCACGAAACTCAACTTTTCTTCTGTTTGTGTATTAAAAAATACTCCTACTTCTGTTTATTTATTCTTTGCTTGAAGTAATACTCCATTGCAGAAAAGCTTCCTGCAGGCAAAATGTTAATTTTTCTTGTTAATTATATGTGGTACAAAATAAACACACTTTCAGCTGTCTCGATATGTTGATTCCATGGTAGCATCATTTACTGGGATGCTTTGAGTAAAAATAATAAATTTTCCAGACTAACAACGAGACGCCCCTTCCTCCTTCCTTATATTTTACAATAATATAAATTTCTATTTAGAAGTGTGGGTGCCCTCTTGTTGTCAGGACACTGTGGGACTGCAGTGTGAGGCAAAGTCGGTGCTGCCCCATGAGGTGAAACACAGATGGTTCCATCTGGCTCCCATTGGCCCCAGCACAGGAGCAGGCCCAGCAGCGACTCTGGCGCATCTGGGGACCAGAGGACTAAAAGTAAAGCTGCAAGACTTCCTCAGTCTATTGGATATGGCATCTTCAATTAGCCTATATAAATATATGAAAATTTAAAGATGAAGATCCGCAGCACCATGAATTTACATGCTGATAGTGACTAAGTTTCATGTAACTCTAGAAGCTGAATGAATTATGGCCTTCAGATTGTCTCTGTGAATATATCTGGTTTCCATGCTTTCACGTGTAAGAATAAAGAGCAACAAAATTAGATATTATTTGGTTGGGAGACAATTTCTGCTTTCAAGCTCCAAGTCTGAACTTAGAGTGGAAGCACACCTTTCCACCACCCACATGCACACAATGCTATAGCTAACATTTGCGGAAAGCAATCTGCACTGCAAACCACAGAACATGGGGGGGTGAACTGCAGTTAGGAAGACTGCAGAGATGAGAATTGTTTTTTGGCTGGAGAACAGCCAGCTTAATGCCCTACACTACATATTTTGCCAAGCATGTTACACATCACTGAAATGCTCTTAAGAATTTTTTTCAGGGAAATGTGTAGGAGTGCTCACCCTTCTTGTTCTCTGCTGTAGCCAAAACTCTGAGGGCTGCTTCGAAAGTAATGCCTCCTATTTTATGTTGGCTCACAACATCAGAGAAATATGTTAGTGTTATGGCAGTAGAGGTTGGACCTTCTCACCAATACCCCTTTACATTTTGTTGCTGTATGAGGATGGAAACAGAGATGAAGTGTAACAAAATGTTGTCTGATATGGAAGAGCATACATAGAAAAGGTGTGGAACTGCATTCCTCCATGCAGAAATAAATGATACCCACTGACATTCATTCAGAATTTGCTCTATTGTATATTGTAATTGTGCTCTTTGTATCTCTTGTAATTTCCATGGAAATAAATAGGAGGCATTACCTTCAGAAAACAACTATTTGCTACTGATGTCCGTGACACCACCTCGAGAAAGGCAGGATGTAGGCAGTGAGAATGCACTTTGAGAATTTGCACATATTTTTACTAGTAGACTGCAAGCTGCTTGAATGCTGTAGTGCAAGAAAAATACATGGAGCCAATGTGCCTCATTATATAAATGTCTTGCCAGAATAATTGAAGAATTGATTGTAGAATTGATTGAAAATGTATTTATATTCTTGACTGCGATTTTCACCTGCATGTACAGATAAGAAGTGTTTTACTAATGAAGCTTTCAGTGAAATTGCAAAGCTTTCTTTGTATGTATTTTTGAAATGCTTCTAGGGTCAAAGGCAAGGAGCAAGGAACAGATTTTTAACCCATGCAATGGAAAATACACCATTTTTCCAACCACGTGATTATTTTTCTTCAATCCTGTTAAACTCATTGAATTCTAACACTGATGGTGGTGTCTTCATTTATACAATAATATTTATAAGTCCTTTTATGATGACCAATTTAACCACTTCTGCTCTAACAGTATTTAGCAATATTTGATTCTACCTCCTCCCATATTTATGAAATGATGATATTCTTTGAATTCCTGAAAAAATGATTTGTATTTCTGAAAAACTTCATTTTTCTTAAATTATGCCTGTGACATGCCTATGTAAGTAAAAGACAAGAGGTGAGAACATGTAATACCAAAAAATGTAGAAAAGTAGAAGAAAAAAAAAAACAGTTTTAAGTTGTCTAATCATTAGTTTATCACACAGATTAATGCATATGAAAACCTCTGTTATTATTATTCTTGGACTCTTTACATCTATAACCTAAGCAGACTTGCCACCATGTAGTTAAGCTCTATTCCTAACAGTATCTATTTAGTTCAATATGGTTCCAAAAAAAAATTAAAAAAAATAAAAAAAATTAACCATACTTGCCTTATGACTTCAAGAGAATTGTCTTCTTATCTGATCTCATGACTGGAATATATTCCTTCTTACTTCTTGAAGCAAATAGATTATTTTTTTCGGGTAATGACCACTATACAGTGAAATTCCATACACTGTAGCAGTATTTTCCAATCATGTGTAATCAATTTTCTAGGATAGTTCTTGGAAAACTTCCAACATTCAAAAATCTGATGAATTTCATCATGCAAGAGGAAAGATGGATTTGGAGCTAGAAAAACTTGGAAGCCAAATGTCTTATCTATTCTGAGACTTGTTTGTGTAAGAAGATAAAGAGTTAAGTTGGAGGAAAGGCAAAGTAAAAGCCCACATGCTGCTTCCATCACATGTTTCTAGATTACCCTCCCTTCTTAGAAACACATAAACTGTTCCCTGGGAGCACATTTCCTTCAATTTCTTCTCTTTTGTTTGTTATTGGCAGAAAACATTTTTTATCTTGATGTTTCTAAAGAATATCTAAGAGATACTCCTAAGTTGGTAAGCACTAAGTGTCCCACTATTTGTTCCTTTAACCTTTTGTGAAAAGAAAATACAGAGAACATCTTAACACTTAATTTACATGGTCACCTTAACCTCAGTCCTGGAAGGAGGAAGGGGTCATATATGATATAGGAAAAGATTTGTTTTTATAAACATTTATCCACAAGTGAGAAAGGAGAGCTATTTCCTGGATATTGTGTATTTTTAAAAAAGGAAAAAAAGAAAAAAAAGACATAAAGATAAGCAGAATTGTATTCACAACTACTATTTATCAAATTATGCCAAGAACATTAAAAAGAAATGGAACCAGGAATACTCTCCTTCCTCCCCTCCTGCCTCCCATCACCCACATACATTTACATCATTAAATGAAATCTGTTCATTTTCCAGTCTGAAACATCAGAGTTTGGCAGTAGCAAACCACCATAACAATCCACACCAGTCTGGAGGGCAATGACAGAAAACAGAAAGCCCTTTTGCTGCACAGCATAAACAGTTCCTCATACTCATCCACAGTTCCTCATACTCTGCACAGCACAACGAACAAATAAGTTTAATTTCACAGAATTGCTACTGAGGGCATTCTGGAAGTAGCTTATAGTCCCCGAACATGCGCACGACGATATTTACAGCCACAGTTAAGGTTACACAAGCAGTTCCATTCTTATAATTTATCTTCTGATGCCTTATCATATGACAAAAAGGTAAGCACAGTTTTAGATGTGAAAGTCCTGAGCAAATGAGAAATCTCCCTTACCATTCACAAGCACCATAGTCAAAAAGAAGGGTTTGAAAAACCACACTCATCTCTGTTCCCTATCCCTTTCTGATCAGTGGCAGATGGCAATGAATGAGGTTCAGGAAGGAAAACAACACAGAGCATCTAACCATTCTTCCTGGACAGAAACATTCCCACTCCATTCTATCATAATTAAGCTGCTCCTGCTTTCTGAACTAGATGGGGTATCCCTCTATCACAACAGTTAACTGAGTAATGTAGATTTTACCAAAGCTGTGAATGAGGATTCCAGAAATAATAATAATAATAAAAAAAATGTTATAACTTTAAGTTTTCCAGCTAAAAAACTTAAGCTACAGATTGCTTAGTAACCCACTGGCT